GCCCATTACCTTCTTTCCACGTAGATTCCGTCCTCTGGGTCTCCTCCCGTCTCTGCAGGGCTGGGGGCTGCTTCTCCCTTGCTGGGACCACCGCCATGAGGTACCCCAGAGCTGAGAGAAGAGCCTGGGTGTGCAGCACCACTTGGAGGGAGGAGAAGGTCACCTGTGGGGTTTGGGGGAGAGAGGGGGAGGGGGGCAAAGGCACCTCTTCAAAAGCAAGCTCTCCCCATTCATCCACCTCTCCACCAGAATCACTGTCTTGATGCCCAAGGATTACGTTGTTGGTTCAGGGGGAAATAGGGCACCCTGGCTTTCCTGTGCATTTCATAAATGGGTCTCAGTCCAACACAAGAGAAGCAACCATTTTCTTAAGTGTAATTTGGGTGTCAGGCCTGCAGGCATCTTTTCCGTTGGATCTTTGGCCTGCCACGCTTTCTATTATTCTGCTATGCGTTTTCTATGGTGGGAAAATGGGAGGGGGGGATTGTACGGTGTTAGATGATATGTAGCCATAACAACATTCTTTCTAGGAAGCCAAGGTCATCCTTTGTCTCTGCACCTGACCGGAACTGGATGGGAGGAATCGGTCTTCATGGCAGTGGGAGATTGGACCATGGGATGGACTTGTGGGTGTTGGGGATGCAAGATCTTGAACTTTCAATTGGGGATTGAAAGTTCAATTCCGGGAAGCTTTCAGATTCGGCTTTTCCCAGATGGGCCATGACTCTCTTAATAAATTGGAACTTTGAGGAATGCTTTGCCTTGGACTCTGATTTAATTTTGGATGCTATCTGGGACCATCTATTCTTAGACTTTCTTTCAACTATCATCTGACACCACACGATGGCTGAAAAGGACTCAAGGTCCCTTCTTCATCTGATTTAGTAGGCTAAGGACACAGCAGGCTGTTTCAGAATGAAGGAGGGCCGAAGAGAGGGGACGCCTTCCTGGATATGGCTAAGAGCAGCAACGCAAAGAAGGGTTTTTCAAAAGTCAGGCACTGCTATAAAAACCTGCTTAGTCTTCTCAACCCAACCCACAGTCTTGTCAGGGAGTAGAGGGGGCTTCCTTAGCAGCAAACCCAGCGTTATTTACAATTAAAGTTAGGGTGAGTTTTCTTAAATTTTCCTTACCTCCATTCTTTGCTCGGTATTGTCAAAAACTGTCTGAAATTTTGGACCGTTTTTATCGGCCTGAGAAGAAATATAATCAATATGTGACTAAAAGTTGAAACACAATTTTCATATTGTACAAAAGCAATTATTTGCACGTGCAGTTCAGTACGTATCATTTGGTAACATTTTTTCTTTTTTAAAAAAAAGGTCTTTACCTTGATATATTCTACTTTCAAAAGGTCTAATCCGGAGACATCCGATGAACTGATCAAATGAATTTGCTGCCGTTTACCTACAAAAATTTGTGGTATCTAAGAAATGGCAGGTTATGTAAAGCCCACATGGTTTCTTTAAACTAAGCCTTTTCTACAATTAGCTCTTTTAAACAAAATCCATAACAATTTTGCTTTTTTTTTTTTTTAAGACTATAGACTTTTTGGGTAGAAAGTTTTTTTCCCATCAAGAACACAAATCAAATCATCATTTTTTTTCTCACCCCCTGCCCAAAAGTACATTTTTGTAACTGCTTAACTTGTTAACCAAATTACCTTGAATTTCATAATAATTCAGGCTAATCTTTCTCAAGTAAGTCTCAGCTTTCAGGTCAAATGTCCTAGCAGTGGCTTCCATCCCAAGCTGCTGCACGTTAAATACGAGTATTGTTTCTTCCCTCTGCAGCTGCTTGGTCAGTTCCAAAATCACCTAAGTTAAGAGATGCTTGTTGAATTTTGAAATCTGGGCCTCTTCAAATACAATCCTCAACTTATGACCACAAGTGGGAATCAAAATTTGGTTGCTAAGTGATGCAGAAAAAAACCCCCACACTTGCCTCCTTAATTTCAAATTTTAATTGCAGGTCCGTCAGCTCCTCCTGAACAGTTTCAATTTCATTCTTCAGCTGCTTTTTGGTGGGGGGAACCACTTTCTCCGGTTGTTGGGGATAATCATCGAAATCAAAATATTCATCGTCGGATTCTAAGGAAGAAAGAAAGTGTTATTAGGACATTCTGTGGGCATCAAAATATTCACCTTGGAATGGATTCATTAATCAATGTTTAAATAAAATTGGTTTTGTACAGTCATTTGCAGGAGGGACGAGGCTGAGGGGGGTTTCCATTTACCATAACTTGGGTTTTTTAAAATGTGCCATTTAAAGATTTTAAGGCAAAGTTGTCTGAGCCACGAGTGTGCCTTCTAAACAACTGCCTTGGATTTGCCGTAATTTTGGCTGTCCTTCCATTTTCCCTTTTTTTTTTACCTGGTTCTAATTCTTCCAGCAATCGTGTGGCCCCAAGGAAGTCTTTCCTTCCCTCAGAGACCACAGGAATGGCCGGAGCCTGCAAAAGAATGAGAGACAGCGATAAACCACAGGATTATATTTTCATATAATCACAACACTTCAGACTGGAATGTTCCCCCAGCAGTGCCCAGCTGGCATGACTGCTTCACTAGCATTTATTACACTTTTGACCTTTCTGTGTCTCGGAAATGCCAATAATTATGGTAATTGCTGGCTGTACTTTCCCCAAATGTTACAAAGAGTTTGATACCTTTGCAGTTGAAACTGAAACACTGGATTTCTGTGGGAGAGGAATGCTGTCAATTAGCTCCAAAACCCCTTTGATCTTCTGATCAGAAATTCTCAGGTGAACCAAAGGAAGCTCGCCTGACACTTTAAACCTAAGGATATAAAACGTGGAGAAGAAAGAGAACTAGATTGCTAATAACTCTGCTTCGCTCTTGATCTAGAAGGGAAAACACACACACACACACAAAACCCAGCAACACCAAAACCCAGCAGGGCTGTGAAACTGGCACGCACTGCACAGGAGGCACCAAAAAAGGAAATGTAATTAACATCTTGTTTTTACAAACAAACGCACTGATCTCTGGTTAGAAGGATACGAAGTGAACAGCCAGTTGAAGGCTTTCTTTCAATTGGGCCTAAAGTAATGATTTTGAGAAACATCCCAAAAAATGCTTAAGGTACATTGGGAAAGCTTTTTAAAAGACCATTAGGACGTCTCCAGGGAGACTGGCTGGCTACTTCGTCCTGAGAAGATTTGGGTAAGTTTAATTTCATGGCATTGATCAGTAGCTTCACTGTGCCAAAGGCCACGATTTAAAAAAAAACCCGAGCAATGAATTCCCATTCCTGCCCAGGATGCCACTCTGACAACATTTCAAGGGGTTTGTAGCAGCATTAAGCGCACTGAATAAAAGGCCAGCCGCAAAAACAAGGCCGGCTCCACCTGAACCATCTTTATAGCTTTTAAAATTGCTACGTTACTTTGCCATCCTGACGTCCTTCTCCACCATAGATTTGGCAACTTGGACACGGATGTCCATGGGACGTAATATGTGCAGCAGGGATGCGGGCTCAGACCGGGCCTTTTTCCAATCTTCCCCTAAAACACAGTGAAAGAGTTGCTGATATTTCGGTGATACCAGCGTGATAATCAATAACAGGGATACATAAAACTCTAGTAAGGCCTGGCGATACCACAAAAATGCATGTATGAAAACTTCAGGATGCCCACCTGCCGGAGAAGCAAGTCAATTCGAATGTCAAGGCGTGTATGTAGCAGTATGAATGCCGCACCCTTTGTGTCAACTGCTTCCCACTTGATATGCAGTCAATGATGTTTTGGATTTAAAGGCATTGTACCTGATCTGCCAAACAGCAGCTGTACGTTCTTGATTTCGACATCAAATCTGTCATAGGCTTTGTCCATGATCTCCTCCAAGGAACTGCTGGAGTTCTGGTGGTGACCTTGGCTGATGCTCTTCAGCTGTTGAATGACAAGTGTCTCTGCTGCTTAACCTGCCACTGTCGCGTAGTTTTCACAAATGTGTCCATAAACACAACTGGCCCACGGCTGCATTCATCAGCCCTTGACAGGACTAGGTGACAGGGACACGCTCCTCTCTTCTGCCAAGCTTTCATTTATTGCTGTATTTTTCAGAATATAAAACGCACCTTTCCCCCCAAAAAAGAGTGTGGAAATGTTGGTGCGTCTTATACACCAAATACAGCCATTTTTGGCCTCCAGAAGCCCCACCCCTGCATTCCATTTTTGCAAAAAAAAATGGTTGTTTTTTGCAAAAATGGGGCAGTTCTTTGTCTTCCCCCAGCCCTGCTGAAGCCTGCAAAGTGCTCCTGGGGGACAGGGAGGATAAAAACTATTTTTTTTCTTACTTACCTCTTCAAAATCTTGGTGCATCTTATACACCGCTGCGTCTTATAATCCGAAAAACACGGTAATTTATCTTGCCTTCAATCTTTAAGAAAGGTCATCATGACTTACCTGGAAAGTACCGAGGTCCAAAATAAGCAAGTTTGACTTTTCGTGGTGGAAGCCGGTTTGTGGGATCAGAAGATAGGAAGGCTTCAAGTTGATCCTGAGGTCCAGGACTTTCCGTGTTTCGATGATATGCATAAGCCCTAAGGCGGGAAGCAGAATGGAGCTAGCAATAGCAATAGCAGTTCGACTTATATACCGCTTCATAGGGCTTTCAGCCCTCTCTAAGCGGTTTACAGAGTCAGCATATTGCCCCCAACANACACACACACACACACACACACACACATACATACATATATACATATATACACAAACACACACACATACATATGTCAAATATGGAATTTGTTTTCCCCAATTAAATAAATAAATAATTGGGGAGGGAGGGAGACTGTTTAAAGCAGTGGTTCTCAACCTGTGGGTCGGGACGCCTTTGGTGGTCGAACGATCCTTTCACAGGGGTCTCCTAAGACCATCGGAAAACAAATATCTTTGAAAAAATATAGAAAATATAAAATAATTTTATGGTTGGGGGTCACCACAACATGAGGAACTGTATTAAAGGGTCGCAGCATTAGGAAGGTTGAGACCCACTGGTTTAAAGGCTTTAGGCATTTCCCAATATTAAGGGATATGATAAAAATACATGCTTTTCTAAGCCTTTGTCACCTATTTTAAAGGTCAATTTTATTGTTGGTTTTTATTTTAATTATAATAACTTTATCTTGTTTTGTCCTTTGTATCGTTATTGTACCTATATAGGAACAGAAAGGGAGGCTAAAATTCAGTAATAAAAATTTAAAAATGCTTTAAAAATCTCTCTGCTCAGTACTACTATAATAAAAACTTTGTGCACTAAGTTTGAATTATTTTTTTACTCATAACTACAGATGAAATATTGAGCTGGTGCCATACTTCATACTAAGCGTTATATGTAAAATGGAATCTTTAACAATATCCTTTCTGTACAAAATGTGAAATATACAAAAATTACATACTATTTCCCAGTCGTAAGCACTTTTCTTAAATTACAATGAAAATACTTTCATGACCATTGTTCAAGTACAAATTGCATACAGAAGCTTAAGATGTACATATTAAGCAGACAAAATAATTAGATTGGGAAAAAAATCTTACAACACATGCATTATAAGTTACTCAAGAAGGAAATAGTAACTTCTTGTTCTCTGTAATTTCCATGCAAATGTAAAACAACATTTTGCTAGATATTGGAAATTCATTGGGTATCTTTAAGATGGTGGAATAGCTTATTTCCTCAATTTTTATTTGCATTCCCCAGATGTTAATGATGGCTATTATTTCAGCAAGTTAATTTAAGACACCTCCCCCCATAGGTCTTTCAATAGCTAATTAAAAGCAGAAGGACCATAACTTAGGGCATGGGGGTCAAATTCCCAGCATCGTTTTCCGTCACGTGATTTTTCACAATGTTTTTTCCCTTCGTGGAGCTGGGGTTGGCGTGGCCTGCATGTAACGCATCTGGCCTGTGGGCCGCCAGTTTGACACCCCTGACTATGCCAAAAGCTGAGTTGTAAAGCAAGGAAATTATCTTTCTGAAATACTGAAGGAGAGCTGCTGATCAGTGCAGGCAACACTAAGATCTATGGATCAAATGAATGAATGGTATAAGGCAGTTCACATATGTATAGCATAGAGGAATTGAGATAAACATGCTCACAACAATGTTTTGACCTTCTTAAATTCTGTGCTCTGGAAGAAATACATTAAAATAACCTAAAATAAGAAACTAGTAATAAAATAAAAAAATGTAAGGTCACAGAAACATTAAATTTAATGGAAATTACCACTATGAATTCATCATTTTAGCAAAGCATATGAAAAGCTCTTCTTCACATTGAGCGGTATGATAAGATCATATTAGATATTGCAAGAAATAGATCCAGGCAAAATTTAAGCAACAGCAGCAGTGGCTTTTATAATTTCACTTGTTACTTTTTGATTTTACCCAACCTGATTGCTGCTTCTTAGTTACACAAAGAGAAATTAGATACATTTTCAGTAGCTCATTCTCAAATCTTTTCTGTGAGTCACTGCTAGTGCTTTTGCCAAACTAAATATGTCTGAGCAAGGTTGGAAACATTAATGGAAAGAAACATAACACTTGCAATGTGTGTGTGTATTGGGGCAGGGGAGTTGAGCAACAAAGGAAGCAAGTTCTACCATGTTCAAGCATAATTCAGCAATGTAAAGGATGCAGAAGTGAGATATATTTCGATATAAAGAACTATGGGAATGATAATAACTCTGAATTTGTTAAATTGAAAAAAAAATGATGCAAGGAGTGAAGTGATATATACAGCTGCCTTATCATCAGGCAGCTAAGCTAAGCTAAGCCAAGCCAAGCATAACCATCCAAAGCATACCAAATCAAGAAAGCTTCTACATGAACAGAACAAAGACCAAATCATGGATAATGCAATCAGTATTTTGGTATGATATATACATGTGATAAAGGTAAAGGTTCCCATTGCACATATGTGCTAGTTGTTCCCGACTCTAGGGGGCAGTGCTCATCTCTGTTTCAAAGCTGAAGAGCCAGCGCTGTCCGAAGACATCTCAATGGTCATGTGGCTGGCATGACTAAATGCCGAAGGTGCACGGGACACTGTTACCTTCCCACCAAAGGTGGTTCCTATTTTTCTACTTGCATTTTACATGCTTTTGAACTGCAAGGTTGGCAGAAGCTGGGATAAGTAATGGGAGCTCACTCCATTACATAGCACTAGGGATTCCAACCGCTGAACTGCTGACCTTCTGATCGACAAGCTTAGCGTCTTTGCCACTGAGCTACCACAAAATCCTCCAAATAATGCTTAAAATTAGATCAGTGTGCCATGCCTCTAATTTTGGAGGGTTTTATAATGACCAATGATCACTGAAGGTTTTGTTGTTCAGTCCTTCTTTAAACTCTTTTTACTTGAAGACAATTGCATATGTTTTGGAAATGAATCTCCTAATTTGATTATGTGAGGAAGGATTTTCCTTTGACTATCCTGAATCCTTCATTATAGGGAAATGAGACACAGAACTCTACTTTTCCATTTTATAGACAGCTCTGTTATGTCATCTCTCCATTGGTTTTTCCTTCTACACCAGTGGTTCCCAAACTTGGCAACTTTAAGAATTGTGGACTTCAACTCCCAGAATTCTCCAGCCAGCAGAGCAGAGCTGGCTGGAGAATTCTGGGAGTTGAAGTCCACAAGTCTTAAAGTTGCCAAGTTTGGGAACCACTGTTCTACACTGAATGCTGTAGTCCCAAACAT